TAAATAATGGATTAATCCCGATTTCTAAATTCAGTTTTTATTTCAGCCGTGAACTCTTATAAACCTAAAAATGTAAAAATAATAAATGTGTACTAAAATAAATGTATAATTGTAATAATATTTGTCCACATGTCCATATATCCATACGGTTAATCAAATGCAAAGAACTAAAATTTATTATTATATATTATGATAACTTTCCTTTTGGTGATATTCGTCATCAGCTAGGTTACCCTGATAATCTTCCCTCTCCCTCTTTCTCTTTTTGACTCTCTTTCTCTCTCTCTCTCTCTAGCTATCCCTCTCTCTCTCACTCTTTCTCGCTATCTCTTTCTCTATATATCACCTTTCACATTAAAAACAAAAACAGCTGAGATCATTATAATGGAGAGACGTCCGTATTCTATTTAGTTACTACTCTAGATTTTTATTTACCTACTCTCATTTTATTAGTATAAGAAATAGTTGTAAATCAATTCCACATTTCATATAGTTGTCATATTTATAGCAATAATCATATCCCGTTCATAACTCATCAATTCCAAGGCCAGATCCTCTTTCAGGGAATCGCCCAAATAACTGACTTTCACAGCTCATCTCTATGGCTAAATGCTCTTAATGGACGTTAATAGTAGTTAATGGTTTTGCTTGTTGACTTTGGCTTTATTATCTGCGCCGGCAGTCAAAACAAATAAACGATTATCGGCGTCTGTGCGTGCCATAGTCGGCAAGCCGTAAGATCAGTGCCAACTATTGCCAACTGTCCGAATAATCACGCCCCGCAAATTAAAAGCGAAGAAACGAAAGCGCAAAAGTGCGAGTTTATTCCGGTTATGATGGCATACGGACAAGTGACAATCATCCTACTTAATTGAATTCTTTGCTGCATAATAAATCAACTTAATGCGATCCAAGTGTGCCTGCGAGCATGCAAAGCAATCCAGAGGCAGAAGTGGACTCGGAGTGAGCGAATGAGCCTTACCCCATTCATGCAGCGCCCACAGACGCGCAAATCCTTTGGCTTATTGCTGCAGAGCGAGCGAGTGAGGGGGAGAGGGGAAATGTGTGGTTTAGGCGGCAGCAGCAGCGGCAGCAAATAAACAACAATAACACAGTGCAGTCTAACCCACCACGCCTACATACACATGTGTGTGTGAGTGTGTGCTGAGGCCTCTCCAATCATGCCCATGCCCAACCATGGGAATGGTTGTAATTTCCACACTTGTGCTGACACATTCAAAGGGCTTTGGGTTTTATTTATGAATTGAGAAATTGACATCCTGCACGGGCAACGGGCTGGCTGAGGGGTGGGTGGGGATGCTTGGGCTCGATTTTTATTGCCGGCAAACAAGGAGGCTTAAGCGCACCAGAATCATCCTCATCAAATGAACAAATGAATGAAATGAGCCTCGAAACAGCGCCAGGCACTTGCTGCCTGCTGCCTCCTGCCTGCTGCCTGCTGCCTCCCCTTCGATTGCTGCCGCTGCAAAGCGGATAAATCGAGCGTAAAATATTTCAGCTCGGACTCCTTTGTTATACTTTGCCACTTGTTTTTGCCGCGCCACGGCAGGTTGCAGCGATTTGTTGCCCAGCGCTGAGCCGAGCTGAGCCGCTGCCGAGCTCTGCCCTCGGTTTGCGGTTGAGATTGAGGTCCTTCTGACTGCTGCTATTGCTGTTGCTATTGCTGCTGTTGCAGTTGTGCAATTCGTTCGCTGTTCGCCGTTGCCTGCTGTGATTTTTCCCATTGAGGGTTGATTCCTGATGCTTGTCCATCAAATTGAGCGTCACTCAAGTATTCAAGTGTGTGTTGCTGTTTTTTATTCTGCAGATACTTCAAAGATTTAATAATGACATAAGAAGAGCTGCCATTAAACCTGCCCAACAGCCATTGAGTCTCTCTCTGTGTGCGTGTGTGTGTGTGTGTGTGTGTGTGTGTGTGTGTGTGTGTGTTTGCCTTTGCGATCTCTTTGCCGCAGTCAGGTGCAGCCAGGTATCAATAGCTGAAGCGAAGGAACAAATTAGTGGAGCCCAAAGCCTTGTTGCATTGTCTCCCATTGTCATTGTCATTGTGTCTTGGCAACGCTCAAGGATTCGCCAGGACTCGCTTTGGCTCTGCTCGCCTGTCAAAGCAACTCGAGTGTCAAATCTTTTATTTGCCTTTTGCAGATTTCGCAATAAAAATTGTGTGCGCGCGCCCATCCACTTTTAGCCATCTATATATACAGATATATATATATATTTATATCCTTGGCCGATCCTTTTGGGCGGCTTGTTTGTTTGCTGGCAATAAATTTGCTGACAAAAGAGGGATTATTGCTGGCTCATACCGCTGCCCCCTGCCTGTATGCTGTCTCCTGTCTCCTGCCTCCTGCTCGCTGCCTCCTGCCCGCCTCCTGCCCGGCTGCCCGGTTCCTGTCAGCGTGCATTCTTTGGCGTTATTGTTTGCGCATAAGTTAATTGTTCCCCTTCAAAGCTTAAACGCATCGCATCCTTACGCTTAACTTGAGCAACCCCCCTCCAGTCCCAGCCTCAGTCCCAGTCCCATGCTGTGCTTAAGCGATGATTAACCGTGGAATGACAGGGGCTGCCGCAGCGGATTCGGCTTGGATATGGGTCGTCTCACTTGGCCATCAAAAATCGCTATGGCAACTCGGCGTGCAGATAAAGCACTTGGCCAACTGGAAATAGACCATGGCTAATCAGTAACTAGTCACACTAATCACTGACTAGCCGTAGATAATATAATATTCACAAATGGAATGAAGGTAATTCAAGCTGAAAGTGCTTTGCCCAAGCAGATGTGAAATTAATAAATAATAATTAGACAAATTTGATTGCTTCTCTTTCTGTTACTTAATTACCTTTAATTATTTATATGTGTGCTTCATTAGTTTTTCAGCTGTCTTTTTGATAGATAATTGCAAATTTCATTTATTTGAATGGAGTCGCTAAATAATAACAGGTTTAATTTAATACGTTACCTTTATTAAGAATTATTACAATTTAGTAGATCTAAGTTATTAAATTAGATTAATTAGTTTTATTTTATTAAATTAATTTATATATGTATATAAAAAATATAATTTATATATAATTTTCAGTATTTCTGTTTGGCTGTTAATAAATAAAATTGCAGTATAAGCATAATAATAATAATACATTTGAAGAATATATACATATTTCCATTTTATTATACATTTATTTATTTTTATTATGCTTATAATAATAATTGTAATCATTTTTATGTTTTATGGATATCTCTAAATAAAATCGAGTACTGATTTTTCTCAAATTTGATTATTCCTTAAAAATCCGCTGGATCATCGCACTGATATTGGAGAAATCACATTTATAATAATTGCCATTAAGGAAGCAGCCAAATCAATGGTTCTCGAAAAACGCTCGTTTATTACTTTACTTCTTTTGAAATTGAATGTCCATCTGAGCTCGTAAAAAGACAAAGGAAATCCGCAATAAATTTACCACAAACAAAATTGCAAAACCAGAGCCAGAATCAGAGCCCCAAACCCCCCCGCAAAAAGCTGAGCACACAGCTCGATATATAGATATAGATACACATATAGAGGCTGGGCGTTACCACGCCCACAATGTTGACTAGAATTCAGTGATTTGTAAGTGTAGCCAAGTGATTTTTGTATAGCGATGATTGGAGTGGGATCCGGCTGGGATGAGCAAAGAAAATAGAATAATGAAAATCATGCAAGGAGAAAGCAACGATATCAATATTGTCCTGCCCAGGGAGCGTATCTGTGTGTGCCTATGTGTGTATGTGTGTGTGCTAGCAACTTCCGCAAAACTGAAAACTAATTTGAACAAAGTACAACAAATAAAACTGACTACTGAATGTTTAATTTGAAAAGGGAAGAAAGCGAACAACAACAGCAACAATAATGTCTAACAACTAGAGAACAAAAACAGCGAAAATGAAAAAGAGAAATAATACACACACACACACACACACACACAGGCCCACTCATACACAATAGACATACATATGTACAAGTATACCAAATATCCCCCCAATTGTGTTAAGGATGTTGCAAAAATGGCGCATTGGCTGTGTGAGTGAAAGAGCGAGCGAGAGAGAGAGAGAGGGAGCGCGCGCGAGTGAGTGAGTGAGTGAGTGAGAGAGGTGGGTAGGGAGTGAGTTGGAGTAGGCCGAGCAGGCAGAGTAGGTGGCGAAACGAACTGAGCTGAGCTGAAACGAGAACGAGAACGCCCGACATACGGTTAGAAAAACATTCGCACATAAAAATGCTAACATTTGAACGAGAGCGCATACTAGCATAGCACACACACACACACATATACAATATGGCAGCTCTGTCTGTCTGTGTGTGTGTGTGTGTGTGTGTGTGTGTGTGCGTGCGGCTGACATAATGAAACATTATTAAGAGCCACGACGTCAACGCAGCAAAAGGTATCTAAATTTGAGAAAATGTTGCCCGTCAGCCCTGAGGCAACTCGAAGAGGGGCAGAGGGGCCGTGGAGCAGAGGGGCTGGGAGAGGGGCGCGCCATGAGTTTTGGCTTCTGCAGTCGCTGGCGTCGACGTCGCCTGCCAATTTGCGTCCGCGCCCGCGTTACACAATGGAGCTGGAGAGGAAAACACAAATATCACATTTACAGCAAGCAGCACTCCACCATTTTATGTTATTACGTTGTCTCTGTGTGCGTGCGTGCGTGTGTGTGCGAGAGTGCGACGAGCTGCTGCTGCTGCTGCCCCTTGCCCAGCCTCTGTCTCCTGATTGGGGGGTGCACTTGGTCGTAGATTGGTTTACAATCTCAGTCATCCCCTGCTGAGAGCAGAGACGCAAGAGACTAGCTCCATCTCTGTCTCGCACACAGACGGGGATGCTGATGCGCTGACGCTGACGCTGACGCTGGCAGCGCTGCACGACGCCCGGGATAACGGCAACGGCAACGGCAGCGGCAACGGCAACGGCAGCGGCAACGACGACGTCGACAGTAGAATCACAGTTATTCGAGATACGAAAACATAGCAGCGCCGACAAAAGCTCATGGAAGCGAGAGCGGCAGCGGTTTTGATAAATAAATGTTTGAGTTATGTAGAAAAACATTTCGGGCGAGAAGATTTTCGTTTTCGTTGCGATTCAGTTAACATTTGGCAAAAGGATTCCGCCTAAAACAGACAAGCCGACGGATGATGCAACAGACCGAAGACTCAAGCTCGTAAGATCTCAACAGTGTCACGCGTAGTTCAATAAAAACGGAAGCGGTAAACGGTAAACGGTGAACGGTAAACGGGAAACGGCAACGGAATCGGAAATAACATTGCATACTTGAAATTAGTGTTGAAAATATTCAAGAAAAAAAAAATCTATGTGAAAAGCAAACGACAAAAAAAAAAAAAAAGTAGAAAGCATAAAGCATAAAACATAAATCAGTTCCTGAGAAATAGTCAAACAAGTGTTACGTCCTCTTCATACATAAGTTAAGCATTTGATTAGCATATAGTAGACAGATCCTTAGAATAGTTAAGAGCTAAAGCCACAACAACAACTGCAACAACAACAACAACAACAACAATGCACACCAGCACAGATCCTATGCACGCCCTGCACGACTGCTCCTCGCAGTCGCCGCCCCTGCACAAGGCACAGCGCGGCGGTCTCACATCCTCTCGAGCCTCCATTGCCGCCGCCGCCGCCGCTGCGGATGAAATGTCCATGATCTGCGATGACAGCGACTTTGAGTCAACGCCAGCCGGCGGCAGCAGCAATAGCGGCGGCGGCGGCGATAATAATAACGGCAACGGCGGCGGAGGCGGAGGCGGCAACAGTACCAGCACCGGCGGCCCGCTGGTGAAGCCGCCCTACTCCTATATAGCCCTGATCACCATGGCCATTCTGCAGTCGCCGCACAAGAAACTCACACTCAGTGGAATATGTGATTTCATAATGTCCCGGTAAGTCTTTAATGAACAATTAAAACAAGCTTTGTATTCCAATTGGAATGGATAGATGTCGTCTAGCAGTCTAATTTGAATAAAGTTTACCAAGTTTAATTTTTATTAAAATTGATTAAAAGTTCCTGACCAAATTTAATATGCGAATATGTTTATTTAACATTGAATTTAAGTCGGCAATTTAATTAAATTGACTGTTAATTAAATTGTATATTATGCATTTTAATTCAATTCTATTTTAATTTAATTTTAATTAAATAAATAAAAACCAAAAGTATATAGAAATTATATATAAAAAAAATAAATATATTAAGTTCTAACAAAAGTTTGGTTGCAATTTTGTTCACTTTTATTTTATAAGTAATTAAAAATAAATATATTAATTTTTTATTTATTTTTCTTTGATATAAAATATAAATATATTTTATAAGAAAAAATATATATATTTAAAAAAATAAATATAAAATTAAAATAAAATTATTTAAATAAAAATCCATTTAAGCAAATCGCATCATAAATATTTAAAAAAAAAATGTGTTTTTTAATTTCTTTAAAATCCAATTTAATAAATGTTTTCTATTTCATTTTCATTATTTTATAATTAGTACAGGCTTAATTTTATTTTAGTTTGTCTTTTATATATTTTTTTGTTGTTTTTTATATTTTTGCTATATTCATATATGAAATACTAATATTATTTTATATGCATTAAAATATGCATTTAAAATATTTAAATTATAGTCGTAATTATGTATTATGATTACAATAGTAATTTTATTTTGTTTACATAATTTTAATTATTTAAAATATCATTTAAAACTATTTGATTATCTATGCAAAACATGACAAAACATTTTTGGATATTCGCATGCGCTATATATTAAACCATTTGATATCCTTGCAGTTTTCCATACTATAAGGATAAGTTTCCCGCTTGGCAGAACTCGATACGGCACAATCTCAGCCTGAACGACTGCTTTATAAAGGTTCCGCGCGAGCCGGGCAATCCGGGCAAGGGCAATTTCTGGACACTGGATCCGCTGGCCGAGGACATGTTCGATAACGGCAGCTTCCTGCGCCGACGGAAGCGCTACAAGCGAGCGCCGGCCATGCAGCGCTTCTCGTTTCCGGCGGTGTTTGGCACCTTGTCGCCGTTCTGGATACGGAAGCCGGTGCCGCTGGTGCCGGTGCACTTCAATGTGCCCAACTTCAATGGCAGCCGCGACTTCGATGTGATGCACACGCCCAGCGATGTGTTCGACACGGCGCTGCGTGTCGATAAGAAATTCAACTTCTTTGCCAATGCCGAGGCTTCGTTCTATCAGAACAACAGCGACAAGTTCGACCGCCTGTCGTTCATCAATCGCCGCGCGGATGGCATTGATGCACTGCCTCACAGCAGCAGCACCGGCGTTACCGGCAGCGGCAGCGGCGTCGTCGGCGATGCCAGCAGAGCCAACAAGTACAAAAATCCATATGCATTCGATGTGTCCGCAGCGGCGGCTGGGCTCGGCCCAGTCGACTATGCGGACCGAGCCAGCAATAGCTATGCCGATCTCAATGTGTATAGCGATGATGTGGATGCCGATGATACCTCGTGCGACAAGATCGACGTGGAGAGTGCCAATGAGCACGAGCAGGACTCGCATATATCGGACTCCGTCGACTCGGTGTGCACGAATCCAACACGATTGGAGGTGGCCTCAGAGGCCACCACACGCGACCCAGATCCCGAGCCGGAGCGCAACTCGCCCTATGCGCTGCTCTTCGAGCAGACCGAGGCATCCAATGGCTCAGTCGCGATTACGTCCAGCCCAAAGACGCCCGCCCGATCACTGACCCGATCCACTCTGCTCCACATTGACTCGGAGCCCGCGAACCTGAGATGCGCCAGGCAGACAATTGCCAAAGATTTTCGCATTGAGACGCTGATTGGACACGGGCACAGCGATGGGGCGGCCAGCGATTAGAGAGACGAGATGAGATCTCCCTCTCTCCCTCTCTCGCTCCCTCACTCTGTCGGCATCTGCTGCCTGCCTTGGGCATATTTTAACACTTCTTCTGTACGTTGTAAACTTTAGCTGTAGTGAAAAAAACGGACCCATTGATGTAACCCCCCTCCTCACCCCATCTCCGACAGCACCCAGTGTAGCATCCCCCAGTTACCTTCATGCCAAATGCACGAACATTTCAATGCGACCAAATAAACGCGCCAGTTGCGAGTCCACATCAATTGTATAAATTATATAGAGAACACGCACACACACATACACACACACAACTCAATATTTATGCCCGAATGTAAGGAGAATATATACATATATAAAGAAATTACATATTTATAGCATACTTTTAAACGATTGCATATGGTATATATGTATATGTGTGTACACACATAGCTGTTCATGCATATATATGTGTGTGTGTGTGCTACTACAACTACATATATATGTATATGCACGTCTGTCTCTCTGTCTGTGTGCGTACATCCACACACATACATACATATATATTGTATGCCAATGCGCTAAGCACATACAAACACTATTAACTTTAGACGTAGCCACTAAGAGATTTGCTGATGTTATTGAAAATTTAATAAAAACTATAATTAGAAAATGAAACTCTTTGGTTAGAGCATACAAAATGTAAGTAAAGAGGATAAAGTAAGTAAATGGGACTACATATGAATATTAAAAATGATTTACTCAACATATTATAATTTATTAAATTGTTTATGAAGTCATAAACCCTCTTTTCCAGCATTTTGCATATTATTTCTTTTATTATTTATGTATTATATTTCCTTTAATTGATATCTTTATTTTTTAATTATTATATAAAATATTATTACAATATTATTTATTATTATTAATTTTAGTTTATTTATTACTCACTTTTCTTTTCTTACATATTTTCATTGCCCTTTAGTTATTGAAATTGAGAAAAAGTGTAAAGTTAGAAGGTTTTAATTAAAGAAAAATATTTCTCCCATTTTTGTTTTAATTTTAATTTAATTTGAAGGTAATTTTAGGTTTGTTATTTTACTTTATTTACTTATTATTTAATTTAATTTTTTTATACAAAATTTTTTTATTTCTTCATCAATTATATGAAGCACTATTTAATTTTCTTGATAGTGCCTTACATATGTATGTATATTATTCAGAAATTGAATTAATTAAAAAACTGAAGAAGAAGTTGAAGCCACAGTAAGGTAAGAGGAGTAAAGCTGTTAATTAAAAGAAAGTTAGAGTCTTAATTGAAGAAACAATTAACTGCCTTGACACTTGCAACAAGTTCAATGTAAATGTAGCTCTCTCCTTCAGTCTCTGTCTTGCTGTCTCCTTCTCGATTGTCTGATAACTTTCTGTTACCGACTGTCAAACCGCTATTTCGGCTGTCAAAAAGCTGGCGCATGCGCCGTTCGCATTGGCGTTCAGCTGTTTGGTATGCGACGCGTCGGTGGAGGAAAGCTTTGCGGCGCTTGGCGAAAGCTCTGCGCGGACAGTGCTCTGAAGTATTTGTAGCGTGGTATTCCAGTGTTAAAACATTAAAAGCTAGGCTGGAAAAAGGACAACAGTTAAATAGAAGATACCAACACTATTGGTATCCAGCAGTACGGAGCTGCAAACTCCATTTGGCATAATTCCCCACACACACGCACACGCTCATACACACACACACAGGCGCACACACAGCAAAAAGTCGATTTTTCACCAACATAAAGTGCAAAACTTTCGAATCGCAGGATAAATTGAATGCAAACGCGAGTAAATTTAACGAAAAGCAAAAAGAAACTGCCATCAATTAAAATATAATTAATATAAACTAAAAACTTTGCAAAATGTGTGTGATATAGACGTGTAAAGCATTTTGTTTTTCATACCAAAATGCTGAGCTCATCATAGAGCGTAGAAAAGTTCTGCCAGCAGCAGAAGCAGCAGCACAAGCGAAAGGAGCCTTTGCCTCCCTCCCCTCCATCAAACTGCCCCCGTGCCGAGCGTTGGCCTGTTGTTTGTGATGTTATGTTTATGGTAATGAGAAAGGTGATAATTTGTGTGACTAAACGCCTTAAAGGCTGTTGAGCAATGCGTAGCGGCTGGAGGCAGACGACAACAGCCTTACCCTAAGCCAGAGCCAAAAATTTCAAATTGGAATTGAGACCGCAGGCAACAGCCAATTGCTAAGAGCTGAGAGCCAAAAGCGTTTTACGTCCGGGTTAAGATAACGTTAAGCACAAGCTACGGCTGCACAACGACAACAACAACGACGCGGACGACGACCAGGACCAGGTCGACGACTAGAAAGCGCACATGGCGAGCTGGAGCTGGAGCATCTTGTGCGCAACGCTGTTGGCCGGCCTCACGTTACTCACGGGTAAGTCCAGACAGACAGGCAGACACCGAGAGAATGAAGAGTGTGGGAGAGAGAGAGAGAGAGTGAGAGCTTGGAGGTAGCTTTTTCTAATCCTAATCCTATATATATATTTATATGTTTAGTGACCCATACGGTGCGCATTACCAATCTCCGTGTGCCGCACACTTACACACTCGAACGTGATAATGAGCCCGATCCTTTGGTGTTGGACTGCGAGTACGAGATGGGGCCAAGGGAGAAGGGCTTTGTGCTCAAGTGGCTGTTCAATAATCACTCCATCTATCAGTGGATACCATCCGTAAAGGGTTTTGCCATGGTGAGTCATTGTCACCCCATTTCAGCTCGAAAGGCGCAAAAACAAAAACAAAACTCAAACAAAAAAATTAATTAACATAAAATTTGCTTTCTTCTTGTTCTTCTCACATTTGTTGTTGTTGCGCCTCTTGTAGGGCTTCATGAAGTCAAAGATAGACACCAAAATATTCACCATGGAGGGCAGTCCCGGTGTTATATCGATAAAGAATCCCGACTGGAACATGACGGGGGAATACACCTGTGCCGTGCAAACCTTTGAGTCCACGGATAAGCGAAGTGCCCGCTTACAAATAATCGGTATGTGAATGTGAATGTGAATACGAATACGAATGTGGATGGGTTTGCAATTTACATATATGTATATAAAGCTATTGTTTTCTTTTTATTCCAATACCCTATGAGTGTAGAGGTTATATGGATGTGTGCATCAAGATGAACATATTTTTTTATTAGGTTAACTTCTGTTAGATTTAGATCGAACGAGTAGTTCGATTTCTTATTAGAGTATAACTTATAAGACGTACATATATTAAATTGCTTGGTTTTCATAATTCTTAATAATAAACATGTTTGTGATATACATTTTTTGAGATATTGTACATAAGACGAATATTGAATTCTTAAATTTTGATTTTGATATAATGTATTTATATATATTTTTATAAAGATATAATATTTATTATTGCGAAATCAAATAAAACCTTCTCAAGCAGATTAAAATGTAATAGATATTTATTATTTTACAATTTGTAGTTAAGTTTTTAAAAACTTAAATGACATCCATTGATAATTATTAATTTTTTAGTATTTCTAATTAATATTTTTTTTATATAAAATCAAATTCCTTTCATCTTAAATTTCCTATTAAAATATAGGAATTCTTCTTCGTAGCCTTTGAGAGTAAAAAATAAGTCGACTCTATTGAGCTCCATTTTACTCACCTGTTTATGGCGTGAACTTGTTTGCATAGGTGTTGGCTAGGTGTGCTGCTACATGTGGGTGTGTGACTGTTACTCTGAGTCTGAGTGTGTGTGTGTGTTTGTGGCACGTGCGACTCATATTTGCATGCGTGTCATGTGGCAGTCGCTGCGGTTATAAAGCGCCCAGCCAGCAGCCAAGCGCCGCCTCTTGTTTTTGTTTTTGTTTGTATTTTTTTGTTTTATATCAAAAGTTTTGTTGTTGTTGTTGTTGTTGGGGTTTTTTTTCTGGTTTTTTGTTTAGTTTGACACTTGATTAATTCTCACGGATTTTTTGTTCGCTACATGTCCTGTGACCAATCTACCCACGCCCCCCTCTGAACACCAACTCGATTGGCAAACAGTTCCTGAGTCGGATTTCATGCTGGAGGCACGCATGGGAGGCGAGCAGACAGATGTGGACATAATGTGTGCAGTGCAGAATGTTTTCCCACAGCCGGTGCTATCTGTCATGTAAGTAAAGATCAGCATTTATGATAGATACACAATATATTTATAATCTCTCTTTCTCTTATACTCTCTCATTCTCGCTGTCTCCCTTCAGTTTTGATACACATATATTGGACTCGGTGCTGACGCAATTGGATCAAAATCCCAGTGGCCTGTACAGCATGACAGTGCGAACGCGCATTCCTAGAGATCAACTCGAATCACCCACACCGATCACATGTGCGTTTTTCCTGCTCGGCACTAACTATACCAAGCGCAGGGAGACTATTTTCTATGGTAAGTAGAGGTAAGCTGGCAGGCAGGCGGGCTCCCCCACAACTCTCTTGAACAATTCTTAATAGAAGTCAACTCTTCTTCTTCTTCCACTTCTCTTGAACGTCAATCGCCAATTCAGATAAAGCCACAAATATACAACGCAAATGGACAACAGTCGCCGTAGTTATGTCGATCGCATCTTTAGCTTTAAGCAGTTAGTTTGGTAGTGTTTTTGTAGGCTATGTACGTATTTGTTTTTATGTTCGTATAGAATGTTTAAAAGAAAAATTTCATTTTTAAATAGAATTTTAAAACGATAAACGTAATTTTTTGCGGTATTTTTAAAAAAGCGCTTATTTTGTAAATGCATGTAAATGTAAGAGAAACGAATGATACACACGCATACACACCTATACACACATACATATATACACGCATAAACATACAAACAGACAAAATTAAGTAAGAAACAACAACAAATATACATAAAACATTTAACTGAACACAGAACACAACAAGCAGAAACAAACAAACAAGAACAACAAAAACTAAAACAAATTATTGTATTCATATATTTACCATATAAATTTAAAAATATATATATAAATAGTTATGTATGATGTATAGGTCTAATTGAGTACAGAAACGCTAATAAAAAACGAAAAAATTAAAAGTGCATTAAATTAAATGTGTTGTCAAATGTTCTTCGTAAATAAATTCATAATATGTCCATTGTCAATTTTATACTTAGTATTAAATATATACATTTAAATATAACGCTTTTAAACCATTTGGTATTTTTTTGCACTTTTAGCATATGGCGCCTGTACACTGCAGCCCTGCACTATTTGCTGTCGCTTGCTTGTGCAGCCCTGGTGCGCATGTACGTAC